TCAAACTATTTAAACTACCATGAAGATGTCACCCTACTTCAGACTAAAGCAGCAAAAATATATAGAACATTTCACTTTTTAAAGTTTTCAATCGTTTATATTAATGCGGTGAATTTGTTAACCCATTGCATGTGGATTACAATCTATATTTATTTGACTCTCAAACAAGCAGGGGGTTCCAAGCATTCAGAAAGTTTGCTCATTCATCAAACTGACTTTGCTTGAGCCACTCTATAGAGAGAAAGTAGGTGAATAACAAGCAACAGTGTTTTACTAGAGCAGATTATAGTTTTGCTTAAGAAAATTCCATATTACTGTACAATTCAATATGCTAATTATCTTAGCAATAGTAAAAACTTTTTCTTGTCTTTTGCTTTTAATTCATTGATTGATTTTTAATAAAAAACAATGAAGTCATGTTATGCATGTTTAATTTTAAATGTCTGTGTGAATACAATGATACCATGATTCTTTACTTAATCTTACATGCCACAGGAATCTTATACCTTTTCAACAGGGTCAGACTGAGTTACAAGCAAACTTTGCAACTGATGAAAGCCCCCTGCAGGTCTTTGGGCCTAAAAGGAGATTAAACTTATTAAAGGACAATTTGAGAAAAGCACCAATTGTGCTCATGTGGTGCATATAAATGAAATATAATGATACCAAAAATCTACTTAAAATCTGAGCTTTAAAGCTACATTAGACACGTAGTGATAATTTTTGTTAATCTTGATGATTATGGCTTATAGCAATAAAAACCTAAAGTCCACTTCCATTTTATGAATTTCAATTGTGGCTCCTAAAGGAAATCTTTCTTGGGGTCCTTTGGAACTGCTCTGCATGCTTATGATTTAAAGCCTCCACAAATTGAACAGTTTTAATATACGTAAATATACTTTAATTATAAAAAAAAAGTCAAATTTACTCTCACTTACACTCTTCGTGCCAACTTTAAGTGGGTTTGAATAACGCACGTCGTCTTGTTCCACCACCCAAAATATTGTCTTTTCTTGTCAAACCAAATCTTACCAACCTGTAAATAATTGTTTTAAAAGCAAACTCCTTTATTTTACAAGAAAATCCATCATCCCAGTCATAAATCTTATCAAAAAGACAAGAGGGAGCGAGAACTCCCAAGATCATAATGAATAAAGCGGTAACAAACATTTTAGAAGGCCAATAAACAGATGCGAGTTGGTTTACACAGTGAACCACAGAACATCTGGCTTTGACGCTGGAACTAGACAGCCAGACATTTCTTCTTACACCACCAGCCAGTAGCTCCTCTGTCTCAGCACGGAGGCAGCAAGCCAGAGGTGGGCGGACACTTTGGTGAGTTTGTATGTGCGGCAGCCTTTCAATTGTTGTGGGCCCATCTTTTCTTCTTCAACTTAAATAAATCTGTGGTAAGATCTGAAAGGTAGGGAAAACTGACATGATGTCGTATCTTACAGCTACATGCATTAACCGGCTCCTGTTGCTTTTTTTTTCTTTTTCTATTCACTTTGTTTTATATAGCCCCATTTTGTTTTGACATTTTCATAACCACTTTTAGACATTTTTAACATGGTAAAATACATTGGTAGTATTCAAGAAAAATAACTGCAACTCCGAAGTTGAAGCATCCTCAGTTCATGTAAACCAGCCCTTGCTCCTGTTTATTAAACTACAGAATTGTATTCAGATCATTCCTGCTCTCAGGCTAAAAGGCATTTATCCGAGTCAAAATACCGAGGGCAAAAAAGAAGAAGAAGAAGAAAAAAAAACTGGAGTCTGCAGCACATAGAAGCACGAACTGTCTGGCCCCTCGCTCTAGGCCATAATTAATTTGAGATTTATTTTTATTGGAGAGTTCCAGTCTCGCCTGGCCTTAACCAAACAAAACCAAATGCCTTGGCCCTTTGGATTCGCTCGAAAGATGGGGAATATATATATATATATTTTTTTTTAGATTTCGTACACTGAGGCGTGCCACATGCTGACCAGCATCTCCCTGCGCGATTGAGAGGGAAGCAACAATTGCGAAGACACGCTTAACCCCGGAGTCACAGATCGGAAGCGCCAGAATAAAAGGAAACAATCTAGGCTGCATTTCCACAACAAACTGAAACACAACGAGTCGCAAAATATATGTTTCCCCTCTCCGTGCGCCTCTTACAGAAAGAGTAATTTACGCTCATATTTTCTATTTAAACATTCCCTGCTATTCAGCTCTCTTACAACAAATCGGGAATTGTTCCGACTCCTGAAACGCAAAGTCTCTCAGCGGTGGCACAAACGCTGCGGTTGGATGAAAGGAGCCCTTATTCAAAAAAAAAAAAAAAAGGGGGTGGGGGAGGAGGAGAGGGGGATAAGTCCTCAAAACATAAGAAGTCGCCCTTTGGAAAAACACCTTGATTATTAAGATAGAAACATAGCCCTTCACTGTACAATGACTCATTTGAATGAAGCATACAGTCCAAGCAGTCAAACGTGACGCAGTCACTTGGCTTTCATTGACATTTTTTCACTTTATACACACAAAATATGTTTGACTTTATTTTATAAAAAAAATAAAATAAATAATTATTATTATTATGAAAAACAATTTGGCGTTTCAGTGCTATTTCTAGACGTGTGGATCCGTTGGATGTATCATATCCCCGCTGCGCCAAACATGCGGGACGAGATGCGGGATTTATATGAAAACCAGATGTGCGTTGTTTGCTCTATTTACCCTCTCAGGAGCGTGACGGACAGAGAGCGGATTCATGACGTAAGGCATGATAATGAGACGTAACACCACATTTGAATGAGCTAAAAGGAAAAAAAAAACTGCAACAACAGAGCATCGTGACTTCAGGGTAACCAGGTATTTCTTTATTATTGTTACTGTCAGTCACTTTGACACTGCAGTAAAATAAAAGTCTTTACTTGTCATTAATGACCAAACAAACTGCTAGAATTTTATTGATATAATTGCTAAGATGTTTGGCAAACATTTCATTTGAGAACATAATAATCAGGTTTAACTGCTTCACATGCTTAAATAAACTAGTTACATTTCAACCAAATCTTTGTACTTGTCCAAATTTTGATAAATTCTTATGATGACTTCCCACATATGGTTTATCCTCTATGTTAAAAATAAACAAAAGATAAGCATTGGTTTTTGACAGACATAAAAGATTACCAAGCTATTACTAAAGGGATTATCTTAATATGGTGGTAGAGACAGTTCTAGACCAAATTTACCAGAGGCACAGTCTTTTTTTTTTTTCTTTTTTTTATGGAAGGCGCAGAACAACATAAAGGACCAAAAAAATAAAATAAAATAAAACAGGCCAATATGTCATTTAATATATATAAAGTGATCCAAAGAGTCACTTCAGGAGTCAACAAGATCAGGTTGCAGAGTCCTGATGTAACAAATGAAAACTGTGATCCAGTATCAAAACAGCTGAAGCTAAAAATGTAATACTTTCATTTCTAATTCATTGTTAAAGGGAAACTGTGAATGTAAAAGATTAAACTAGTGAAAGACAACCAATTAGCTACTGTTTCTGTTCCAGAGTATTTCACCATGACAAAAGGGATTTAGTATTAGCTCTTCAGTACAGGGGCCAAAACAGAGGCCTGCACCAGGTCTACCTGGGCACTGGACCCTATTAGCCCTTGTCTTGAACCACCCTTGGAAGGTGGCATGTAAAACCCTTTCCTTTCACACAGAATGTCAGACAACCACTATGATTTTTCGTAGTTGCTTTAGGAGTAACTGGTGATGATACAAACTGACACAAAATATGTGTGCCACTTATTTAATATAAGACAAACTGTTATTCATGCCTTTAAATGTCACCATGTTTAGGCATTATGTTAGACAGCCATATTGGAATCTGAGCTCAGGGCCTGATCCATGACCCCTGGCTTTCCCAATTGGAATTCTGGGTGTTCTTGTTGATTTTCTGACTAAGACCTGGGAAAGTCAGACTTCCAAAACACAGAGAACACACCATAAAACGTAATGTCTCAGATACCCAACTTGCTGGTGCATTTGATATGCACTTTAAGTCAAATTTTCAAGAAATGTTCTTGCATCAGGTCAGAGATTTTCTTAACCACAAGTTTTTTGAAAATATTTAGCTTTTAATTAGACTAAATACAGCTCACAGAAATATATCAGCCATACTGGACACCACACATGACAAATTAGAATTGCTAACAGTTGATTGAACCAAAAGCTTATGTGTCTAGAAGTAAACCAGTATTGCAGAAGCATAGATTGGTTGGTGTGCCAAGGTTTTAAATAGTTGGAGTTTTGCTACAGCGCTAAAATGTTCTGTCAACATTTTCATGGCTTCACATTTTGATGAAATTATCATTTACTACTCGGTAGTAAATGAGTTATCTATTTTTTATTTTTTTTATTTTTTTGATAGCTCTAAGATTCATTTCCAGTTCTATGGAGAATACAGCTCCATAGAACTGGATATATTACTGCTATGTTACTAAACAAGCAGTCATAGAATGAAACCTAAATGACTTTTACCAATAAACTCCCTTTCTTATTGTATGATAAGAATATGAAAATGTGATAATTGAACAGCAAATAGTCTATTGTTTGAAAAAAAAAAAACAGTACTAAATGTAAGGGATCTTTGCTTATATTATGTTGAAATAATAAATTGCTAACATTCAAAACATAATACAATATATCATTTACTCATGAAGTATGAATAATTGTAACTTTTACGGTTTAAATAAAACCATTTAGATTACACTAAATGTTTTTATTTAAAATTGTTACTTTTTCAATGAATCCCATACCAGCACATGCCTATGTTTTCTGACTGTAAAGCTCTCTTAGTTAAATTGTTAAACTGTCTAAATTAAAAAGAAGAAACAAAATTATTGAACGCAATTACTAAATTACAGCATCATATAAGTTGAAATAGCCTTGGCAAACTTTGTTGTTGACTATCACAGCAAACTTAAAGAAAAGAACCCTGCAAAATTACCTGATCCAACAGACGGTGGTGTCTTACCTTAACGTAAGACGACGTGTCAGGGACAGTTTGAAACATGTCTACTAGACAGACTGGCCCAAGGGTGCTCAGTGTCCAATGGGCCCTGAAAGAAGAAGAAAGACAAAGAAAAATGATGGAAACAATTATTATTATTATTATTATTATTATTATTATTATTATTATTATTATTATTATTATTATTATTATTATTATTATTATTATTATTTCAAGGTTGTGAATCCATAAAAGATTCACAACCTTGAATCTCCACCAAATTAGAGTTAAGGTAAAATTTACCCAGTGTGCACCCTCCCTCAAATCTGCACGTCAATTCAAGCCTAGATTCATTCATAAAGCCCGATTTTCCCCCCTAAGCTCTGGTATGGGCTATTAGATAGAGGCAGGTTTTAATTACTACCCTCCCTACATTTAACAGCGCCAATAGATGGAAATTACAACAGTGACCTACAGCTAACATGGATAAATTACTTACTTCAATTCTAGCCAATAGAAACTGAGCAACACACAAAAAAAGAAGAAAAAAAAAAAAAAAAAACGAGGGCCCCCATCCCAACCCCCATCACGTTTTCCCCCTAAAGCTTACCACATATTGAAACACTTTTCGCTTTAATAAGTGCAGCTTACAAAGTCTCGGGTGAAAGGGCACTGAGGGGACGGTGTTTTTTAGTCCTTCCTTATACCGCTGCAATTATCAGCAGCGCAGAGCCATCACAAGCGCCTCTTATGTACATATGGGTGATGAAGCAAATGAGGTTATGTGAATGTCTGCAATGGCAGGCCATCTCTTAATAATCCCCGTGGAACATCTCTGACCTGTGAAAAATCATGCATGTTTTTGCGAACCTTAATTTACAACTGTGCATTCATTTTAGAATTATTAGCGGGTGATTTAAACGCTTTATGATCTTTTTAAAAATGTATTTAAGTATTGTTTTCGACTTTTTTGTGTGTGCAGACGCAAAAAAATGCATCCGATTTCCAGCCGATAAAAAAAAAAAAAAAAAAAAAAAAAAAAAACCACCCAAAAGCACCCCCCACTGCCCCCAATTAGAGGGGA